TACATCTTGTTTTGTTAGAACTCTATCCTCAGAATGTCAATTATTCTACCATTGTTTTTCAACGTTACCTTATATCATTAATTCTTGACCATGAACATAATGATTGGTCAATATTGAATGTAGATTTACGGACAATCACTGAACAAGAAGGCAACTTTCGTCTATTTTCATTAACACATGATGAATTTCAACTGATTCTCATGCGTTTACAATCATTTGTGAATTATAACTCCTCGTTGGCATCGTCATTTGTTCTCAATATCGCACTTACTGGTGAACAAACAAGTGAATATGAGTCGAAAATTTCCTCTCGCTTAAGTAAAATCAATTTAAATTTCGATATTGTTCAATATCGTGCTGAATCCTATATGATTGGATTAGATTTTCTACTTCATAAACAAAAATCTATAGCCAACGAAAACGAATTGATCGAAATAATCAATTCCAATGAGAACACTCATGATGACAAACATCAACTTTATCCTTATATACTGGTTCATGCCGAAGCTGCTAGTACTTTTTTCTATATTGTTCATTCATCGAATCATTACTCAGTAGTCACATCGAATAATCTATGTTATAAAACTTATTCCAACTTAACGAAACTTCTTCAGCCTGGTTTTGACACGACAACTGACGAAGAAATGTAAGCAAAATTCTTTCTACCATTCGAAATTGTTGTTCATCTCGACTTTCATCTAGTCCATCCACATCATCTTCTAAAAGTACTTATCTAACATCACCATATTCATATCGACGAGCATCTCCTCCACCGTCATTTGACGTTACTTGCAAAGATTTATGTAAAAATTGTTCACGTTCATCTTCCATTCATTTACCTCAAATTCCGATTACAAGTTTCACTCGTGTATCACAGCGATACTTTCCAGATGATTATACACATTCGGACAAGCCACATTATATCTATCGTGGTTGGTCCAATCGACGAAATGCTTCTTACGATAAGGAAATTTGTACATTCGATGTTCATACCCAAACAGATGATAGTTTCCTTCAATCGTCATCTGCGCCAACACGTTTCGCCATGCGTCGTTCATTACTGTCGATGTTTACAATGAACATCGCATTAACGATCAAATTAATTACGAAACTTTATCCATCTGTAAAACGTTGTATGTTAACAGGAGAATTTTTTCAATTAGAAAAGCAAGCTGCTCAAGATTTATCCTTATTTTTACAATCAATTCTAGGACAAACCGTTCTACATGTTTGTCAATTGAAACGCGAACCGCTTGTCGCAGCACTAGGCTGCGCACTTCCTCGGGTTTATTTCGATGTTATTGATGACGAAGGAGTTCTAGGCAATGATTGTATCAGTTGATATTTCATTGAGAAGATAAATATATATTTATTTTTAATCTTCTGATTAATCGAATCAGAATTTAGTTTGTGTGTGTGTGCGTGCGTGCGTTTTTTTTCAACAGATATAGAATGTAGCTCGACCTATTTTCAATAGGCTTTTTTTGAATTTATTACACATTATTTTTCTGACTATAATAAATTCATAAATAGTCATCGTAAGATAGAAGATACTGCAGATCTGGATTGGATAGGATCGGCATCCGGTTTGAGGCGCACGTGGAAATCTTCTTCTTGTATATTTAGCGTGATCAAAAGTTAGTTATGAAACTTGCGCGATTGATTCCATGTCCACAAGCTGATTTATTGAATATTACACTTCGTCTCTTGCTGAATTTATCATTCGATCGGGATATTCGAGCACAAATTGTTCGTATTGGTTTACTGCCAAAATTAGTAGATTTGATCGGTAAAAACTCATTCTCTGATCAAATTTTCGTTATGTTGTGTTTCGATTCATAGATGATGATAATCAACGTTTGATTTCTCTGTGTTTATTGTACCATCTAAGTATGGATAATACAAACAAAGCTTTCTTCACGTATACGAAATGCAATCAACAAGTATGTACAGTCGAATTTTGATTTCTAAGATCATATTTAAATGATTTAGTTGATGAAACTCATCATCGATTGTAAAGAAGATACCATTGAACCTGAAATTATTGCTTTAGCAATTAATCTTGCATTGAATCCTGGCTGTGCCGAACAACTGTGTGAATATAAGCATGGCAAAGGTTTGAAGTTACTGAAGAAACGAGCCTATAAACAAAAAGATTCATTAATCATGAAAATGATACGAAATATTTCATCACACGCATCACCCGATATCAAAAATCAGTTCATCGTAAGAAAGAAAGCCTATTTTATTGATTCAACTGAATATGTTCGTTTTTCTAAAGCCATTCGTTGGCGAATTCGGTGAAACCTTAGTCACAGAAAATGACGAAGCATTTCTTACTGAAGTCGTGGGAACTTTGGCGAATTTAACATTACCGGAAATTGATTATGAAGCATTGATGAGTGAATATGGTTTAGTTAATTGGATCAAATCAAAATTGAAACCTGGATCAAGTGACGATGAATTATCATTGAATGTGGTTATTCTGGTTGGAACACTTTGTGCTGATGATGCTTGTGCGGAAGTGCTAGCTAAGAGTGGGATCATTCAAATTCTCATTGAACTTTTACATGGTTAGTATAGTTAAAATAATGATGATCGGCAGATTTTGAAGAGAGTTTTTCAATTCTAGCCCAACAAGAAGATGATGAAATTGTTTTACAAATATGTTATGTGTTTTATCAGCTTTGTTTTCATAAATCAACTCGACATGTGATTATTAAAAAGACTGGTAAAATCTTTGGCAATCGTTTCTATTGATCTGGATCCTTTGGGGTAATTATTTTAGATGCACCGGCTTATTTAATTGATCTTATGCAAGATAAAAATAAAGAAGTTCGACGTGTTTGTGATATCACATTGGAAATCATCAGTGTACGGATATCGAAATGATCATCAATAGTCAGAAAGAATGTTTGCTTTATCTCTAGGAATATGATCCTGAATGGGCTGATCGTATCAAAGGTGCTCGCTTTCGTAATCACAACCAAGCATGGCTTGAAGCGATTGAGCAACAACAAGTATCTTATGACGATGACGAATCACCCGTCATGAACAATGCAGGACCAGGCAGTTTCTATTCGACGGCAGTTCGAGATCAAGATGACTATGTCGATCAGTTCGCCTACAGTGGTACGATTGGACAATCTTCGATTTATTGTCATTGTTGATTTTGTTTTCTAGATGGTTATCCAATGGATGGTCGAGAGTCACCAGATGTCAATCATTGGAATTCAATTAACAGTGGAGCTGAGATGGATATTGATAGGTAAACAAAGAGAATATAACCCATAGGTCGTTTTGTCTAACAAACTGCACTTTTTGTGTGTTATCAATCATTTAGTAAACCTTTTGCTCGACCTGAGGTGACTAATCAAACTACTCGAAATACTAATCGTTCACAAACTAATCCTACAACGACAACACGAAGACGTGGTGTTTACGAATAACATCATTTTGTAAAACATGATTCAATGACAAAGAATGTGTATCTGTTTTCTGCATCTTTTAGAGAACCATATACATACATGCGTGATGATTACATGGGTATGGATATAGACGCTGCGAACTTTACGCAAGGTCAACGAACATATCATTAATTGAGAGTTTCTTTCGACATTTTTTATCTTTAACTATCCCAGATAGATTTTCCTCGTCTGCTTGTTGTCATAATCTACATACATGTCATTATTATTCTTTCGTCTGTAATAAATAAAGGCAAAATCTGACGAATGGTCGTTGGTTATCATCTGGATTGTTGTTGATTATATAAACAAATAGAGAGAAACAAAAGTATAGACTTGTGAAGTTGCTCGAGGGAGAATTTTAGTAAACAAATCGAAAAATTTCAATAGAACATCGATGATGTTGATGGCGGCGAAGTCTGAAAAGATGAATCAGTAGACATTATACGAGTTTCTTTTTGTTTTAACAATCTCTTGAAAAAGTCTGCTTTCTTGTGAGCATAGAATCGAAAGAACTTTCATTTTCTTTACAATAATGCAAAAGTTGATGAGGTATTTGTTCTTTTCATACTTGAATTTGAAAAAAGAAACGAACTCGTTCGTTTTACTTCATGTGATCATTAGAAGAGACGTAATGTGTATGTGACTTGCTGTAACATTTTGCTACAACTAATCACAGTATTTAAATCTCTTCATCTTTCTCTCTCTGTGTACTCAATCGCCTTTCATTCAGAGAACAATTCTATACTTTATTTGACTTCATATCATGCGGCCTTGTCTGATCGTGTACTTGTCAATTTTAATCATCAGTTTTGAACATGTTCGCGCCTTCTTCAATATGCCAGTGTCGACTATTATTGAGCAAACTGGAAAGTTATCATGTGTAATCAATTCTACTGAAGGTCGCTACAATGATTTTCAACTTTGCGCTATTCGTATTTATACAGCACTGGAGAGCACGAGTGAAATAAATGATGTCGTCGTTCAAAATGGTATGTGGTTCATGAATGTTTTTCGTCGATTGATTGCTACACGGCAATGTGAAGGTTTCTCGGAAACATCAGATATCGGAACAGGCATATGCAACCCAATGTCGTATGAAACCGCCGATCAAATGACTTTATGCATATGTGCTTCGGATTATTGCAATTTAGATCTAGAAACATGTCAAATTGCCAATAGAAATCTATTTAATGTTAGCCTTTTGCCAAAACCCTTGCCTGTATTAAGTGACACAATTGAATGTAATCAAACATCCGAAGTATCTGAAGCTTGTTACGAACATTCATTGATCAATCAAGATACTTGTAATAATTATGTCAATAGTCACAAGGTTTTATGTACTATTGGCGTCAGTGATAATGTGATAGTACAAACAGGATATCTCGAAGAAAATTACGGAATATTTCTTGACAAAAAACTTCATGATTTAAAACCAGTTATACAAGCCTATCCAGAAAATCCATTGATAGATGCACAAACGTATGTCTATTATATGTATTCTCTCGGTACTGACGTAACATCTCAAGAATGTGCCTGTACGCAAAGTTCCTATTGTAATATGAATATTACCTTATGTGCACCTTTAAGTACACAGATAGATACAACAGCATCAACTCTAGTTACGACTGATGATCTTGAATCTGAACAGACAAGTGATATGCTATCCGTATCTATGAACACTCAATCTATTGCAAACATTATGACAACGAATAAGTATACTGTAGAAAGCAGTTCTATTCAAACGACAACTCACTTCGCAACTGAACGTCTCACAACATCAAATGGTACATCCGAGATCATATCAATTTCCATCACAGAATCGAAAACATATCCAGCCACCTCAGAAATTGTTGAAACATCCATTCTCGACGAAGCAACTAGTTCTACAACAGAACCAACAATGATGAGTAATACGATTTCACTGAATGTCAATGCTATTGAATCGACTACTACAATTTATTTTAACGGATCAAGTAAGTGACTATTTAGACTATGATTTCAAGACAAATTCGATTCTCTGTCTTTCTAGATCCATCAACTGTAATACCGAATATGAATTCTGGTCTAATCATTGGTATTATTGTCGGTGTCATCGTCTTTCTTGTCATCGTCTTTTCATTGATTTGTTGCCAATGCGTTCGATTAGGTATGTGCCAACGTACTTTTACTAGTCGATCAGCCAACTATCAACTATAAATTTCTATCCAAACATTTGAATAATCATTTCAATATTTATTTACTGTCTGAATTTCATAAACTTTTGTTAAAAAGAAACTCGCCTCAGCACTTTCTTTTTCTCTTGTACATTTGTTTATTTTTAAGGACAAGTTCTCTCTTCTTCATTCACTTTTTGCGATGTATGATTTTTTTTGAAAAGAATCATTTCATTTCTTATTCAATGAATCACAACAACAAAACCAAACAGAACACTCATGTGTACACAAATACCCATTCGTTCTCTTCTCGACTTTCAATCAGCAATTAAAACTACAACGTACAAAACCATCGTCATTATCACGAATTTCAAATTCTACTACATCATCGCGCTGAGCCAATCACTTTCCATTTCGAATATTTTCCACGTCATTAGTATGCTTTGACTACCGCCATTCGACGAAATACCAAATTAGCATGGCGTACACATCAACAACATGAAGAAAGTAAAACAATATGATGAATGGAAGAAGAAAGTTATTTGTTATATTAGTATCAATCACTGTAAACATGTCTGCTTTCAGCTGAAGAAGAAAAGACTTTTCTAATGATCTTTCATCGCTTTTTGTTATTCACTCTGGTTTATTTCGAGCAAATTCAATCGGGATATATTATAACTGATAGTGATATTACATTGAAATAAAGATAAAAAAATAATTATCGCTCTAGGTAGATGTAATCATGAGATATGAATGGTCAAAGGAAATGAATAGTTATTGATACAGACGTTCATTTGGAATCGTTCTGTCCATTTTTGATTAGTGTTTATACTATTTCATAGTCTGTTCCTGTTTTTCTTTGTCACTTTTCATTACTCATTTAGTTTCTTTGTTCGTATCAGTTACCAAAGCTATTAACATCGATAAAATCTCATTCACATGAAATATTCATAACTGACGAGCACAATTCAAACTATTTTTCAGTTTTTCTTTCCTGTCGAATTATTTCAAGTTCATTGTAATTGATTCTCATGTATATTTAATCTCACTTTTGTCCATCCAATGGCAATCGATCCTGTTCAATAATGCATAGATACAATAATGGAATCGCATTGATTAATAATTTATCTCGAGAGAAATAAAGCAAGAAATCTTTCATCGACGAAAATCACGTTCGATAAGTCGATAGAATAGGAAAGTTCTTGATGATGGATAGATTCATGATTGATAGTTCTAACACTTGATAATCTAAATATTGTTCTACTAATTCGTCAAGAGAGAGAGAGAGAGAAAGATTAGTAATCGAATTAACAAGACTTATCAACAAAAGGAAGAGAATTCTTGTATGAAAATATTTGGATAATAGATTTTCTTCTCAATTTTCAATGAAAGTCAAATGTCAACATGGAAATCAAAATAAATCATCGAATAATTATTTATCGCAGATCTAATTTCTCCAAGGAACCTATGACGTAATTTGCTCTTAATGGGAACATCTTTAACACTATTGATTGCGAACATGGAACACATTATAGACGTTGATAATCTATATGTATTCAACTTCGATAACTTAGCGAGAGATTGCTTTTGATCAACGTCGAAACATACCATCAGATACTAAAACACTAATAACAACATGCCTTGACCGCATCGATTGGCTCGACAATATAATCATCGTTAGAAGAAACTTCAGTAATGCGCAACAGGAAGGCTGATATGTACATCGATGTCTCCGGTTTGTTTGTCTCATCATCATCATCATCATCTTGGAACCATTTCCAATATCGCTCGACGCTGGTAATTGGTAAAAGCATCAGAGAAAAAACGAAGAAAAATGCCTGATAACCTCCATTATGTATATGCAAAGCATATTTTTTTTCTTTCCTCTTGTTCTTCTTCGTCCTTTCTTTCATTACTTGATTATCTTCCTTATATACACGGTGGTATCGAGCGCGTATATGGTCTTTTTCTTCTTCTCTTTCTTGTACACACTTTGGCACCAAAGTGAGAAAGACGAATATAAGAGTGAGAAAAGAAAAAAAAGAACTCGCCGCGTTCTCCTCTCCCTTTTTTTTGTGCTTTAACCATTTGATGTATGTACGTGTGTGCGTATTGTACAGTTATTCCTTTTCTTCTTCTTCGTCTACATATTCTTCTTTCTCATACAGCTAGTTGTGCATTGTCGTATTTTTGGTATAGATTTTATTAGGCAGAGAGAAAGAGAAAAAGAAAAAAAAAAGTAAGAAGAAGAGCGAGAGAGAGAAAAAAAAAGAAAGAGACGAACATATTGTTGAACAATTCGGTCTTCATCAATGATGATGTTAGTAAAAGCATTACTGATAGTTAGTTTCTCGGTGTCATCGATATCCTATTATCGTGCTTGATTGTTTCCTTATACTCTCGTTGATAATTCAAAAACGTTAATTATCAAATGGCANTTCATGGCAATTATCTGTTCATTTATACGAATCACTTTTTCGAGAATATGTTCTCATGGAAGAATTAGCATGGTTCAATTCAAATGTAAATAAAACCAATCTTTATTTGAAATCATCGACGAATGTTAATGGACATGATATCTCAGACTTAATGAATGCATATCAACAAAAAATTTCCATACTTAATGATGAAATGACTCAACTTAAACAAGATCTTACCAGTCGTGATAATGAAATCTCTCAATTGCGCATTCAATATAAGATATTAAAACAACGTAGTCGAAGTGTTGACAGAACGTCCAATGGTAACAATAATAATCATGGCAATGATGACGGAAATCGATCACGGCGTGGTGTGAGTGTTGACGGAGGAGGAAATCTTCGAGAACAA